CTGCACGGGCCTTGGCACGCACATCCCGAAGCTCTGTTTCGGACGCCCTCCCGTCAGCATAAAGAGCCTTATATACTACGAGCCAAGTTTCAGCGTAAACCCACAGCTCATACAAATGGCGAGGCACGATAGGACCAGCCGAAGTAGGGTATGTAGAGGGTTGCGAATGATATCGCACGTCCTCCGTTTTCAAAGAAGCCACCTGCTCATTTAACGCGGACAATTCCACCTCCAAACCTTGAATACGCCCCTCACGTCCCGCTACCTTATACGCAGACGCCTCTACCTCCTTGTCCTGCTACAATCTACAAACACGGAGGGCATCTTCTAAAGCCGCTGCCCTAGAGACGACATTGCCCTATCCCTTTCGGCGTGGGCCAATCCATCAACAGTTGCGCTCAATTCACTCTTAAGGTCAATGACCTCCGTTGCCTTTGTGTTCAGTTCGCCAGTTAAATTGGCCACCTTTGCTTTGAGGTCGACATTTTAGGCCATCACTCCCTTATTTAGCTCAAGCTCATCTTCCCTGACCTTAAGGGCTGCCTCAAACTCACTAAAACGGGCAATGGCCTTCATAAGGTCCTCGTCTCGCTCTTTCAATTCTTCGACCTTACGCGGCAATTTTTCCTCCCTCTGCTTAAGCCCATCGCGAAATACCTGAAAGTCGCGATCCTAAGTGAAGATGCCGGCCATTGCACGGTGTTTGGTGCGGTATTCTTAATACTTAGAGGACATCTTCCCATAGACGATCATCCTCCTCCTTTCCCGACGCTGACGCTTGATCTCCATGATGATGGTCTAATAAGAAAAACAAAGTTAAAACAAAAGGATAGGACAAGAATAATAAAACAGACCCAACGACGAAAAGAAAAAAATGTATTTACCCGTAGAGCCATGCCGGAAATGCTCCGTGACAAACTCATTGCTCTAAGTGCCTCGTTCTTAGGAGCAGCACACAAAAGGGCAAAAATGGATGCCACTTGATCATAGTTCGACAGCAAGTCGTAGTCCCCAGGGACGACTATATGTCGATCAGAACCCTCCATTCTGAACTCTACGCGAGTATGACGCTCCAAAAATTCACGAACATCCCCTAGGCCGATGTCCGAGCTCGAGCTGTCGCCCTCGACGTATAAGCCCCCTCCGATAGTAGATGATAAGCCACCCTCAGCGGAGTATACAAACCCCCCCCCTTTGGTATACTCCTTCTGTTTGGGGAGACCTCTTCGTCAAGATGGCGTCTGCCATAAATGCGGGCACAGGTGCCGTCTCTGACGCACCCGTCCCACTCTTTCCAGTATCAACGACCACATCTTTCCCGAGCTCTACCTCCTTTTTTTTCTCAATGAAGGTTCGTCCCCATTAGAGGACTCATCCATAAGGTGATAGACCGGTAAAGATGAGATCTCTCCCTCATGACCATATCCCGAGAGGAGTCTCTCATCTGTACCGGCTGAGCACGACCCTCTCGGACAGACTCCTCCAAAGTAAATTGCATTCCCACCGAGGCTATGGCCTAGTGAAATGTAGGGACTGGGGTCCTCCACCTAGAAGCTCCATGACCTGTCACCACAAAGAGTCGTATCAATAGACAATGACAAACAGCCAAAGAGCGGTACAGAGGAAAACACTTACCAGATAAGACCTTCGGCCCAAAACGTTTCATAAAAGTGGGCCAGTCTCGAGTTTCCACTGTGTGAAGCAGTAAACGGGCTACCCAGTACCTTATACCGGCAATGGGATGGGGTGTCCGCCCCACAACTGCAAAAAAAAGCCGTAGATAAATACTAAGTTGAACAAAAAAAGGAGAGAGTAAACAAGTTACGACACCTACGATTATCATTCCACCACTTCGGGAATCCAGCGGGGTCCGACACAATGTGTTCAGTTCTGCCAAAGAAATACTTAATGCCAAAATTTACAGCTCGCCCGGTCGTCAGTTTCAAAAACCAACCCTTTGGTCCCACGGTGCCTCAAATATACCATAGTATCCCTATGAAAATTAGGGCAAAACAAGTGCAAGAGGTGGTGAATGTCAACTTCGCACCCTGCTAACTCCGCGTATTTTGTCAACACCAAAAATATTTTGTACGTGTACGGAGAAAGCTGCGGGCAAACCTGATAAAACCGACATAATTCTTCTACTAATAGGAGAAGGGGAAAGGAATGACCAATCACAAAGGGGTATTCATAAAAAGCACAATACCCCGGTCTATGGACTTCCATGAAGTCCCTCCCCGCCGGAACCATCTCGACATAAGGGGGACTATTGTACTTAGTACAGAGGGCATCTATATGGGCCTGCTCAGTTTCAGATACTACCGGAGCGGGAGTAGGAGCAGGTTCTTTGAGGAAATCACTTCGAGACATGGGATGTCTCGGCAGTAACTCATCCACGGTGGGAAAATTGTCCCCTTCCTCCACCGTCATGTCCTCGCCACTAGAAGGAAGCGCCATGGATAACGGGGTGGCGTCGGAAATCTCCTTACGTAATCGATGTGTTCTAGGCATATCTATGGCAGAAAATGTGTTAATAAAATAAAAAAAAATCAAGAACCGCGAACGGAAGAGAGGAAGCAAATAAATCGCAAGAGTAAAAGCTGAAGATGTGAGAAGGAATAACCAAAGAAGAACTGACCAAGAATTTTTGAAAAACAAACTCTTCACCTATTTATAGGGTTGAATAGCGCCAAAATCGAAGCGGAAGGCTGCCAATGGCACCAAAATCGAAGCGACAAACCATTAGTCTCTATCTCGAAAAGATGCGTAATAATGACGCACGTGGAAGTGACGTCATTTCCCAGTAGGACACACCACCCAGGGTATCATGAAGTGCACTACTCTTCAATTGTTGGCCAAACCGTTACGATTCACAAGCCAAATTTCTCCGCAGGTATAGGCGACGTCCGCTTATCAAGGACGCATCGGGCCGCAACCTTTACAAGCGAAGGGACTAACTGTATAGGTCCAAATTTGGACGACCACGACCACCACTGAGTACGGCGAGGAACGAGGTCCTTACGATGTAGCGTCCTTTGGTCGTTATAAAAGGTGACGACCGATAATGGTTAGCGAACGTACGATGTTTGTAGCAGTGTAAGCGTAGTAAAAGACATTAGGAATATGTTTTCGAATATTCTTTATGTTATACCTTTTTAGGGTTTAAAAGAGGATTATCCCTTATAAATAGAAGGAGAACACTTTGTAAAGGGGGATTAGAGGGTGAATACAAAAAAGACAACTTTGCTTACTACAATTCCGAGATCCATACATCATCTTTTATCTTGGCCAATCGCATTCATTGTAATATTTTTCTGCATTTGAAGTTATCACATTTTTGAGTAATTATTCGGTTCCGACATACTAGAAAGCATTATTCACCTCGTTCATCTCTTGCATCATTTAATCTAGATTTTATTATACTTGGCTGAGATTTACTCATTCATCTTCATTAATTAATTTAATCAAAAAGGTTTCAATATTTTTTGGTCAAACAACACCCATTAAGGAAATACTAAATTCTAGACGAAAATAGTTAGTGTAATTAAACTACCCTTCATTAAATGTTGCACCATAGTTATAATAGCACTTACTTCTCTTCTCAAATGTGAGGAGTAAATGACTTTTTAGGGATACATACATAAGTGTAATTTTGAAAAGATAAATTGAATTTTTTTATTGATATATAAATGGACACTTATTTTGGACTAAAATAAAAGCAAATTGATCACTTATTGTGGACCGGAGGGAGTAAACTCTACAACACAGATCACACATTATGTTCAAAGAAAATATTTCAAATCTGAAAGATTTTCTCCTGTACCATGATTTTCGTTGTTTCCTTTGGAGTAGATGTATTTGGCGCATAGAAGGAGAAATTATGGGAAGCTCTAGCGCTAAGAAACAAAATACTATATTGTTTAGGAATGGATAAAGGAAGTAATTAAATACTTTAACCATAGTTAGGGCTTTATTTTATTAATTAAATCTTTAACCATGACAAGTGTCTCTAATCTACGTACGAACTTGAAAAAATGGAGAGACTAGGAAATGAGGGGGGGGGGGAAGTTAAATCCATTTAGAACGTTTCCAATCCCATGAAGTCAGTCTGGCAGCGCTCGGCAGTTGCTACAAATCATTCCCAATTCCAGCATCATTGGCTTTATTTTAAGTGAATATTGTATGAGTCAAAATCTGATCAGATAGGAGTCGGCGTAGGAAGAGACAACGAAAAGTTAGTTGGGACTGTTGTATCCATACCACGTCGTAACGACACGTACCTCGGTCACAGTCGAGATCAAGTATTCAGAATATCTGAAAGGCGAATTGAATATTACAACATTTTAAGGGTCAGCCCGTAATATAGTCAAACGACTTAAGTACTATGATTAATGACCGTTGGGTAAGGGAGAAAATCTAGTATATAAACTAAGTGAGAAGAGGAAGCAAGAAGGGCAGAACAAATCCAAACATAGAGATATTCCCTAAAAAGAGGAGGGATCTTCATCTCTCTCCCCCATGAAGGAGAAAGAAGCAAGGAAGCTCAGATCTTTAACATAAATCGTTAGTCTTATCACGCCAAATATATAGAGTTCTACCTTATTAAAAATCGGTGACCTTTTCCATCCATGTATTCCTCATTGATTGTTATACATTATGAAAATCGTCATCCTCTTCTTATATAATGGAATTTAATCAATGTTAAAATTAAATCTTATGTGTGTATGCTTGCTTACTCTCATCTTCTATCTTAGATCTAGAATAAATTATCGTTGGTTGAGATTTACCTAAAGTCTTCTTATTTAATTAGTTTAAGAAAAAGCTCTAACACATTTTGATCAAACAAATACCAAATAGTAATAAGTGCTAAGTACCGCTATTTTCATAATTTTTCGTAACAATTGCAGATATATATTGTATTAATGTGTGTTTTTAAAATTTTGTTCATTACATGGATAATTCAGCGGAAAGCACTTATAATTAATTATAAGGAGACCAGATTCGTGAAAATCGCACACATAAAATCAGACTGATGAAGTATATGACACAACTATATATCGTCATACTCAATACAACAAAAGTTAGCTTAATTAACAACCTTACATCGACTAGCTAATTGACTGCACGCAATTCCTCCTAGTACTTCTAATTAGAGCTTTTGAATGAACCAAGCAACTTTCTGCATCACATAACCGTGCATGCCTGAGGATTTTCATCACTAAAGGCAGTGATATAATTGACTTCTGTGGAGCTTGCCCTCGCAAGGCTTGACGTCTGCGGGTTACCATCGGCGTTGCGAACGTATCCTGCTGGAGCCTTTTTATCATACACACCGCGCACGTAGGGATGATCCACCAAGTCGTAAGGAACGTATGGCCAAAACTCAGCCTTCTTTCCTGTGCGATGCCTTACTCGACGCAACACTTTATCTGGATCCACATAACCTGTAACTACCAATCTGTGCTTCTTTGGCTCCACTTCTACGTTGGTCACTCCTTTCATTCCGTCTACCGACTTCCTCACCCTCCTTTCGCAACCTTCGCAGTCCATTTTCACTCTTATCTCCACCATCTACAAATTATCTCAGAGGAAGTAAGATATACTAGAACGTCCTATTTACTTAAAGCATGCACGTAATCGGAGAGGGACCTATGTTTTAATAGTAAGGGGTCACCAAACCCATAAGCCTCAGGCAAAATTCGTATATCTTAAAAATGATTAATTTAAAGTACTTGACACCCTGAACTCTAAAGGCCTTTAAGACGCACCGGTTAAGCAAAATACTATGCCCCTCTCGTATAAAAATCCTGAATTAATTCAGCTCTGCACGTAATTAAGAGCATACCTCAAGTTGCCTTTTCCTTAGTTTGCTGAGCTTCTTTTTGCTGTGGCCTCGATGGAATTCGAAGAGGTCAGAAAGGTGATCTAGCAAGCCCATCTTCGTTGCACAAATGAGCAACTCCTTAACTTTAATTTGGAAACAAAATGCTGGTATGGGCAGTAAGTAGACGGTCGAAGAATATATAAAGGGCAGCAGCTAGCAATTTGTTGATCTGTACGTGCAGCTAGTACAAATAAGCCACGAGTTATATATAAGCCATAAGCGGTAATGTGATGGAACCATGTGGCAACTGTGGTGCCCTACATCATCATTTTCTTCATCTAGTGGGAATTTGGAACCTTATCCTCTTCTTGTAATCCAAAAATTAGAGGTATGCCATTTACATGGTTAATGATGAAATCGGATGTCATCGCAGTCTTAAAAACCTACGACTTGCTCCACTCCATCCGTCTTTTACACCGTCCTTGACCAAATATCATAATATTGTTTTGTTCCTATAGAAAACTACACAAATTAAGTAGCAAATTATATCTTCCTAGATAATATCCTCGTCTTAGTCTAGCTGTTGCCAGCGGCATACGTAGCATTTATAATTGGACTTGTACAACGTTTTAGGCCTAGGTTCTAAGACTTCATTTTCAATCTTAAATTAAGGTTTATTTTCTATTTATAAAACATAGCGATCAATTATATATAATACTTTTTGACAAATTAAAGCACGGTCAGATGTTATCACGTAATTTATTGATTCCAGGTGTTCTCCACTGACTATCGCTATAAATACTCCCGATGGAATATTAATACTTTAAGTGTCGTTTCGTACGAGGTATAAGAAGGTATAAAAGTGGTATAAAAATTTAATACCACCTTAATATACTGTTTGGTTAGCAAATCAGGTATAAGTTATTTCAGTGTTAATTTTAACACTGAGATAACTTATACCTTATAGAAGGTGGGGTAATTAGCACCGGTATAACTTATACCTTCTTTTTAGAAATTATGCAATTATCATTCTTAATACAACAGACCAAACAATGAATAAACAACAATCTCAACATAATTAATCTCAGCATAACTTATCCCAATATAACTTATACCAGCATAACTTATCCCAATATAACTTATACCAGTATAAATTATATTCTAATCAAACGACCCCTAATAGTATTATGCCTTTCGTCTTTGATTCTGCTTTCCATACTTGGATATCTTCATATGACTGTTAAATTAGATTAAGCTGAATAGGACTGCCTGTCAAAGAACCATATTTACAACCAGCTAGAAACGTGTATGCTTTATCTTCGTCTCAAGTACTTGTGTTTAGATTTCGGTCAAAGTAAAATGATGAGAACGAGTCGGCCAGCTGAGCAGTATAATTTAGCCAAATGTCATTGGTATTTAAAAACTGTGATTAGATAATGCTACAAATCCAAAAACTATGAAGATCTTATCGCTTAATCAAGACATTCATTTCACAGTGGCTTCTATCTGGACCACTAGCTTAGCTTTATTAAAGAAAATCGAGGAATTTATTAGAGAATTTTCATAAAGCATTATCTTTTAGAGGTAATTAACTATCTATAGATATCATTTACTATATTACTGATTGTAGATACGTTTTCTGTTGTTATAAGATATACTAGTATTAGTATTCGTGCGGATGCGCGGACACTAATCATGTCAAATATTTAAGTTATTTGGATTGTATGTAAATAGTCTTAAAATTTACACTTTCTCAGTAAATATAGATAATCATTGGATATTAACCACATGAAAAAAAATTAACCATTTATTCTATTTTTCTTTTTTGATACTATTCTTGTCGGTGTCATTGGATCCTAAAAATAGTCGGGAAGCAAAATAATAACTCATATTTATCGCAAAACAATCAAATATTGAGACAATGAATGACTCTTTGGATAAGACTAACTCTTTTACTACTACTTGAACTCTTATTTGGTGTGTTGATATCTCTTAACAAATATTTCTTTCTTAAAATTTTAGTTTCTAAAACATTATTTTTATAATAATGTAATTGAAAATATTATTCTTAATTCAAAACTCATCTTAGTTGTCTATCTAAAAATATAAAAAATTCTTTAGCTAGTGAATTATTTTTACTCCATTTTGATATTTGATATTAACCATGTTAAATATCCGAGTTATTTGAATTATATGTAAATAACCTTAGCATTTAAACCTTCTAAATAATTATAGATAATCGTCAGATATTAATTAAGAAACACTACATGAAAAAAGACTAACATTTTCTCAATTCGCGTAGTGATAATTTTTTTTTGTACTATTCTCATAGGCGTCATTGGAACCTAAAAATAGCCACAAATTAAAATAATAACTCATATTTATGACAAAGCACAAAGGTTGACACGACATAAATGATTCTTTGATTACGACGTGACTCTTATACTACGACTTGAACTCTTATTTCGTATGATTTTATCTTTCAAAAAATATTTCTATTTTGAAATTTCATTTTCTAAAACTTTATATATATTATAATAATGATTATCTTTATAATGATGCAAGTGAAGATTTTATCCTTAATTTAAAATTCACTTTAATCGGCTATCTAAAAACTTAAATGATTCTTTGGCCGAATTTATCTTAGTATGACTCCACTTTAAGTTTATCGATATCTCTAGCCCTAGAATTTGAATTTTTAATACCTATATATACAAAAGTTTTGTTCTTCGAATCATTAAATATTAAATTAGTTGATTATTATTATAAAATATTGCATATATTATCTTAAAATTGTCAAGTAGTTTATTTTTCGACACCATACTTGGTTTAACCTCAATGCAAACTACTCAAATGGCTGTCCAATTCAAATTCGAATATCATATCAGTTTGTTAGTAATAGTAATTTTTAAAAATGACACATAATGTAAATTAAAAAAATATTCGAAAATATCTTTATCTTATAATCTATGTATTTGAGTTGAAAAAAATATATTTGAAATCGATGAGATTAACTTTCAATTTTTTTATACTCAACAAAGATGAAAATAAGAAGAAATTTGTTGTGATCTTTTATTTCTCGTTTTTAGATCTTCCTAACATTTTTTCAATATTTATTTTCTTTTATCTTATTTTTTATGTTATTATTTCTGTTGTTACAAATTTATTTCACTATAAAAGGATGAGTATTAATAAAAATTGTCTACATATGAACTTTAGTTATATTTTTAGTCTTTGGTTGAAATTATTTCATATTTTTTTTGGCTTTATCTAATCAGCCTAAATAGGTGCTCACCCGACCACTTAAATTAAAAAATTGGATGATGTGTAATTTATATATAATCCATATATAATATGTGTATAATCGTGTGTTGTCGGTATATCATCTATTTATATTAGCTATAAAAAGTAAACTATAAATATGGCCCGATATTATGTAAATATTCCATAAGATTTCGATTTTTTGAGTTTATCCATGATATAACTTCTATTATAATAATTTTAAAACTCTCTACTTATGTTCAAAAATATCTTATATTTTTATTATCTATGAATTAAAAAAAGTAAAGAAATTTTTCGAAATAATTTGTTTACATTTAAAAAAAAATATTTCACGTCATACCATTTTTTTCTTTATATATACTCTTTGTTACACTTAAAAGTCGTTTATCTCTTGTTGAGTTTGAAAAAAAAACCTTTCACATAATCTAATGATTCAAAACTAATATTCTTTGACGAAAAAAATATTATACCCTTGCAATATTAGCTTGACTACAGCTAAATGAAGGGGTTTCATCTTATACCCTTCAATTCCTTGAATGTGCTAAATTAAAATTAATTATAGCAATTGTATAGCCAAAGTTTTGTTATTTGTTTGATGTCCATTTATGAAAATTGACTCTTCAAACAAATGTTCTTCAAGAAGAAAAAAGAAACAACTTTTTTTTTTTAATATTGACGGATTTTGTGATGTTTCTTTCTCCCCCATATATGTTTACTTTGGTAAACTCTTTTTTGTTATTTAGATAAACATAGATGTGTACCATATATATTACATTTATTTTAAAAGAATTTTGTTATATTCAAATCTAGCTACAGTGTTACAAAGAACTATACTTATTAGATTTTAAATGTGAAAGATTTTTATAGTTATATGGAGTAGTTTTTTTCTAGAGGCGAAGTAGTATTTAAATATTATAAAAATAACAAAAGTTCCTAACATGATTGCATATGATCGTTAACTGAATTAAGTATGATAACATGATAAAAAAAGATAAAATTTATTTTTAATTTAAATTCGAATTTTAGAACTTTATCTATAAATTCAAAATTATCTTTTAATTTAAATTCC